TGCTGCTGCTGCTGCTGCTGCTGATGATGATGATGATGATGATGATGATGATGATGATGTTTTTTATTTCCTTAATGGGCCTGGTGGGCTCCACAAAAAAACCTTTGAGTGAGAGCGAGGTTCTTTTTCGGCTCCATTGAGGCACGTCCACTCCTCCAAATAACTCCATTCGAATTGCCATTGTTCCTGGACATTCAAACATTTTTTATGTTTGACATCCTCCTTTTCATGGCTGGATCTTCGGCAACGTGGGCTGAGCTCTTCATTTACAAAGTTCTTATACCATCTTAAGCTCCAATGATGGTCCGACCGCAGTCTCGATAGCTCAGCCTGGTCCCAGCGACATGTGATACTTTGCTCCTGCTTATAGGAGTACCCAGAATACTTACCTTTGCATGGTGGGTCTCTGATTTCCCTCTTGATCATTGGAAAGATTCCTCTGTATGTTGTTGGTCGTCTGTCTCCTTCAATCTCTATGGCTTTATTGGCAGCTTGGTCTGCTGCCTCATTTCCTTCGATTCCCACATGGCGTTTGTTGTGGCTGTGGTTTCACTGAACTTGCGGCGCAAATAATTTATGTCTTTGCTGTTGCCTAACAGTACCTTGCAGAGGGACTGACTGTTAGTCAAGATCAGCACATTGGTTCTACTGTGGCAATTGTCAGCAATCCATTGTGCAAGAGACATCATTGCCTGGGATTCCTCGTCATAAAACGATTTAAGGAATGCAACTTTAGTTTTAATGATTTCTTTTCGTGGTGGGTTACCATTCATTATCACCACTGCTGCTGCTCCACCCTCGCGGTTTTCCTGCAACAGCGATCTATCAGTGAAAATTCTCACATCGACACCAACCCCCTTGATCACATCCTCTGCAGCTTCACGTACGTTTACAGGATCACCACCTTTGCTCTTCACCCCCCTTCTGTCCGGATTTCGATTTCGCCATGGGTCTCCCATGGACACGCTCTCACCAGATTGATCGGCCATCGATTCTCTGCTTTAGGGAGAGGTGGTCTGCTAGGTCAATGCACTTGCGAAACCAACTTTTCTTGCTGTTTTTAGGCTTGACTGCTTGATCAATGGCTTTCTCTCTTGGACGGTTGTCTGGCAATCTCTAATCCATCTCTACAGACTTGAGGCAAGTTCCTTTTGTATAGGTGGTGTAGTGCTCAGTTCTGGTCTCATAGCGCAGCGCTTCTGTTGGTGTTGTTTTCTGCTGACCTGATACAAGTCGGAGGGCTTTGTTTTGTATTCTGTCCGGGGTCTTTGCAATAGTCTCACTCAGCAAAGGCTGCCGCGCCGGGGCAGCATAATCCATTAGGAAGGTGAAGCTTCTAAGAAATCCCATTCTTGGATGACCCCCAAGTGTCGTGGGCTGATCAAAAAAAGAAATCAGCTAAGAAAAAATATCTCCTAACACAGGGAGGAATGGTAAGCTTGCAAAGATGTTTCAGACGCTGTCCAAGAAGCAAAGGCTGACATGAGGAAGGAGGTAGTTAATGGCATGATAAATGATCTGGACGAAAAGAAAACTTGGAGTTTCATCAAGTCTCTAAATGGATCACCAGAAACCAACTCTCCTAAAGAGGGTACTGAAACACAACGGGAAAATGATAACATCAGCAAAGAAGAAAGCTGAACTTTCTGCCCAGCATTATGCAAAAATCAGTAAGCTCCAATTTACCCAAGAGGAGCGTTGAAGAAACAAACTCCGATTGAAGCTCCTACTGTATGACGATGTGAACAGCGAAGAAGAACAACAATCATACCCAGACTTCATCATGAAAGAGCTGGAGCGTGCGATAAAACAAATGAAGAGAAGAAGTGCTCCAGGGCCTGATGATATACCACCATCTTTCCTAAAAAGAGCTTGGCCGGCCCACTCTCATTGAAAGAATTGCTCAGCCTATGTAATCTGTCGCTTTACCAAACAGCGTGCCCACAAAATTGGCATACGGCACTTATCACTCATCTCTTGAAAGCTGGCAAGTCACCCAGTGATATAACATCCTTTCGACCCATCAGTTTGACATCCTGTTTCGTGAACGTTATAGAAAGGATGCACGCTGAAAAAAATGACTACCTGTCAGAGAAGAATGAATGGATTATAGATATTCAGGCAGGCTTTAGCCAAGGTAATAGCTACACCAACCAGGTCATCAGAATCTGTCAAGAAATTGAAGATGGCTTTCAACAAAATATAACATTCCATCGATCAGTCCTAGTCCTGCTGGACTACTCCAAGGCATATTGTACGGTTTGGCGTGAAAGACTATTTCTGTCAATGGCTGACAAGGGAGTTCCCTTGCGTGCAATCATATGGATCCATAGTTTACCAAGAAAGAGACAAGCCCGTGTTCGCCTGAATGGAAAAACAAGCAAGAGCCAGAATTTCAAGCTAGGGCTTCCCCAAGGAGCTGTACTATCACCGCTGCTGTTTATATTCTTCATAAACAACCTTGCAGATTCCCTCCCAAACCCTGACTCACAACAACTAACCTCCGTCAAGCTGATCTACTCCATGTTTGCTGATGACTACACAATATTGGCGAGTCATGCAAGGAGAGAAAAAGTCAAATGAAGTGACACCGTTAATTGTGGACACGTTTTTTAAAAATGGAGCAATGATGATGATGCTGCTGCTGCTGCTGCTGATGATAATGAAGATGATGCTGATTTGACGTATGCCTTTAAATGTGCTGTGTGTGTGTGTGTGTGTGTGTGTGTGTGTGTGTGTGTGTGTGTGTGTGTGTGTGCT